TTGTCATAGTGATTGGTTTGACTCATGGGATTTGACATAATGAAAACAAAATCTAAACATATGACTGTATTTATGGACATGATATGTTAACATTTCTTCAATCAGCCAGTTTATTGTGTCTGTGCTGAAGAACATTTGAGTATTTAGTGAAAAGATAGGAATTCAGGGAAATAAACCATATCTGCAGTCAGCAGCTTTGCACACGTCTCTGTTTGATCCGTCAGTGCTTTTTTTTTTCATGGTCACCCAAAAAGTGTTTCCTACATGTTTATCATATTTAAGATCACAAGTCAAAATCCCTGCTCTTAAGTCTATATTGATGTCTATCCTCTTTGTTTCAGGCTGTTCTGAACCAGAAGTTCACTGACTGCTTCGTGCTGGTCTTTCTCGATGCCCAAGCTGGAAAAACTGTGAGTTATGATACTGATATGATTCATTATTAGGACACTATAGTTTTGCAAACATTTCAGCGTTGTTTCTTTCTCCCTCCCATCTTCCTGCAGAGCCTAAAGGTTGTGTTCAGGGAGCCCCTGCCGTCACAGCAGCAGGCCGGCAGCAGCCCCCCCCCTCAGCTGGTGTCCATGTATCACCACCTGGAGTCTGTCATCAACACCGCCTGCTACAACCTCTGGACGGGGCTGTTATAGAGCACGGATGGAATCACCTACACCCAAACAGAAACAGGAAGCAGCGGAGGAAAACAGAAGACGAGACGAGACGAGTCCTCCTCCAGCAGCTCCACCTATCTATCACAGAGCAGCATGGAGGAGAGCCTCACATGGGACAGTAATGGAGCTGTGTGTATGCAGCTCTTTCAGTGTAAAGGATGCTCTCAAACCTAAAGGGAGCCAACATAAACCCAAACACAATCAAACCATTAGGGGAAACATCTGATTAAAACAAAACGGCTCCTAGCATGTGTGCAGAAAACATCTATCAGCTAGCTCAAAATTAGCCTTCATCATCTGATGTACTTACTTTTTACTATGCATATACCAGTACTTCTTTAGACATATGCAGAAGTTAACCACTTGATGGATGCATTGATGGTACTTACACGTTTTGTTCAGCTGTATAGTGTCCCCATATTAGCCATGTTAGCCTATCAACACGGTGGCATGGCAGCGCGTCACGTGGGCTAAGCTAACAGCAGCTAATGTTTGCTGAGGTGATGTTAAGAAGCCTTATTTCATTTTTATTAGCATATTTACACACATAGAAGCTTCTGAACTTTACGAGTGGGGTATCTACTTGCGTTTTTTATGTTGTCGAACAAAACGTGAAAATCTCTTCAGCCTGTAGCAAATACAGATCTTATTTCAGTCAGATAGCCAAAAACATGTAAAAAACTAAAACATTGATTTTAAGACAAGCCAACTGGAAGTGGTCAAATACTCACTTATTCCCAGGTTGTAGGGGCTTATTCCCAGGTTGTAGGGGCTTATTCCCAGGTTGTAGGGGCTTATTCCCAGGTTGTAGGGGCTTATTCCTGCACCACGTGAGGTATTTGAGCCAATTTCACTGATAGAAGAGTCAATGTCTGCACAGGGTTTCCCAGTGTATAACAGCAGGGGCCCAGCACCTCTGCTCACGTCATGTACATTGATTCAGTTATGGAACATAAAGCCTCAAGGTAAATGAGCACAGCTGCAACATAATGCTGGGAATACACTTTGGCTCAGGTTGAACTGTCAAAAGGTAACGTCCTATGTCTTCTTTCCTTGACCTTTTGAGGTCAAAAAAGATGTGAAGGAAGATTCAAAAATAATTTTAAAAAGATGTTTTCAGTTTATCATTCTACACATATTTGTGTTTGTTATTTGATAGGCTGACTAAAGATCCAGCTTGGAACCAAAATGTCCTCAGTGGGAGCAGTTTGATGGGCGGGGTCCTCAGAGTCTTTTATGTGTTAGGTCTACCTCGAGCACACCGAGAAGTTTAGGATTTGGGAGTGTCCTGCATTGTGCACTGACATATTCTGACACCATGCTGTTGAAGGAGACATGTTGGAGACACTGCTGTGTTTCTGTCTCTTCAAATCTTTCACAGAGAAATGCCTTCAATGTAAATCAGCAGTTTAGATTGCTTGAAAATCATGCTTAATTCTGAGAGGTGTTTTCAACTGCACACGTTTTGTAATGAGTGTCGTTATTGGCCTGCATTACTTTGCCTTCTGATAGCATTTCGCTAGCTCTTCATACCACATCAGTGTTCTCTACAAGTGTGAGAGCTGGGGCGACTTTGAGTAACATTTACAAAAGTGTCAATCCCACTTGAACACCACTGCCATATATCTGTTATCTGAAGTGCCTTTTTTTCTCTTTGATTTCATTGTATTCCCAAACTTATGAAGGGAAACTGTTGTCAGCTCTGCATAGAAGATCTTGATGTTGTGCAGTGAATGTGACGGGAAGATAATGGGTAATATTATCTTTGATGATTTGCATAATAGCATGCCACATGTCATCAGAGGCGAGTGTTTCCAAAGTATGTTTAGGATGATGAGTTGACTTGTGTTTTTTCTGGTAATCATACCTCCATTTACAAGAGGGCATGAGGCCAGCGTGATAAGAGAGTGTGACTTTACAACCAACACTTGATATCCACTGCAATACCTTCATTAAAGACACGCAGCCTTACATTTCTACACATTTTCACAGGAAGGAAACCAAATGTCTGAGCTTATTGGTGGACGTAAAATGAAGAAACGTCAAACAAAGTAGTTCTCACTGCTTCAAATAATGAGTCTGAATGTTAAACACTGGATATTCATCACGCAAAATGTGATCGAGTTAGCATTTGTACTGTATTATAAACACTGCACCCTCTTACTGTATAATGTAATTTATGTATATACGAAACACTTTATACAGTATGTGAAATGCTAAATAAAGCAGTAGGATGACTGATAATGTTGTGAATCCTTTTTACAAGGCTTAGGAAACAGTCACTCAACATTATTAACGGGCCGTTTGTCATGCATGGATAACTGAGCTGGCTTAATTCCATAAGCCTGAATATGAAGTTCTTAAAAGGAGGCCAAACAAAAAACGTACTTTTTGTTGACTGCTAAAGCATAATTCTCTGAAAATTATGTGACCGTTATTCTCTCTTGAGAAAAAAACAGAAACCAACCGGAATACATTTACTCTAGGATTTTTGGTTTCATTTTGGTGGCATTATTTCTACAGAACAAAGCAGCAAACTCATGTGAGAAGTTCATTATTTCTTTCGCAAACAGGGAGCGACTCCTGGTGGTAAAAAGTATTCCAGTTGTATAGAAGTCTATGAGAAAATTACCCTAGTTCTCTCTTAAGGGTTACCTATTATGCAAAATCCACTTTTTCATTTTTCTTCTGAAAGTTAGCTGATCAGATTTTGGCAACTTTGTGATGTCACAATGTTTTTTGGGGTTATACAACCATTAGCCAATGACCAGCCAAGGGAACACCACCCACCTTATCACCGGAATCTCCTCCTAGAGCACTATTGTGGGTTTTTTAACCAATCATCTCACAGAGGGGCGTGGCCAGCAGCAGCTCATTAGCATTTAAAGCTACAGACCCAGAATCAGCACTTTAGGAACAGGGCGGAAACAGAGGGGTGCTACAATGATCTGTTTGGTGTTTCAGCCAAACACTGCAGAGACAGGTACATCTCAGACCTATAATATATTGATGAAAAAGAGTATATATGGGGACCTTTAAAGTATTACCCCAGTAATTATTTTCCTGATGTGTTCATGGTCTCAATCTGTAGTTTCAAGTCATTTTCAATACAGCATGATGATCAGTCAGTAAATGATGGTGCCATTGAGATAACATAGAAGATAGAGCAACATATACTAAAGGCCACCTTGTGATTGACAGGTTGCTAATGGTGTTGTGTGGTTTGGGTGCTGTCTGTTTCATCGTAGAGCTTCGACCTCAAAGTGTTTTTTACTTCATGAAAGTTCATTATTACTTTTGGTAGCATTAAATAATGATGTCTTATAGAGAGAACCGCAGTGACGCGTCCTAAAACCCGGAAGTAAACTCCTTCCGGTTCCTTCGTCAAAAACGCGATGCAATTTCTCCATAGGATTTTGGAAAATAGCTTGAAATAAGGTCTGTGGTTGACACACATTTAAGAGACGGATCACGTTTTGTTCAGCCGGATAATATCCACATGTCTACCCTACTTTTATAATTTTCTAATCATAAATCTAGTCGCCAGAAGCAAAATGCTAACGTTATGCTATAAACGAACTACAGCAGGGTCGCTGCTTCAACGTCACGCCAACTTAAGATCCATATTCAAAACTACAGATTCAAAATTGTACAAGTTGAAGCGTTTGTTTGAACAGTTTGCAGGAGGCAGGTACTTGCTTTCAAGCAGAACAGGGCAAACAAACTTAGCGGGAGTGTTTTACGTGTTCGGTGTAATGACGTAAAACGGCCTGGACAACTTCTGTAGTCCTATTCAGCCACTTGGTAACAACCATCGTTTTTCAGACACGTAAACTCTTCAAAAATCACCAGTGGGGTCACTGCTGATGTATTTAATGTCGTAGAACAAAACGTGATATGTCTCTTCAATGTGTGTCAAACACAGACCTTGTTTCGAGCTATTTTCCAAAATCCTATGGAGAAATTGCATTGCTTTTTGTCGAAGCAACCGGCAGTGGTAAAAATGCTAACTTACTTCAGGGTTTTAGGACGCGTCACTGCGGTTCTCTATTCTGCGTCTGGTTGTGCTTAGCCCCATCCTCTTTTGTCAGTTCTGGTTCCAAAAAACAAGATGGCGACGGCCAAAATGCCACACTCAAGGCATAAAAACAAAATCCATCAAACAACAAGGTGACAATATCCACCTCTTATATATATCTTCTTATCTCATACAGTCTTTAAACAGAATACAGAAAATCAGCTTTCCTGCTAAAGTCTCCTCTCACTTCCAATCATTCACAAGTTTTAGAGAATTTATCAAGTTCATTTATTAAAACTATAACAATGTATTGATTTTTTACAGGACAATTCTTAATATCTACATGGTATAATAAGTAAAACAATATAATTAAATCATAACAATTATAAGTGTACCAATTCAATGTTGGTTTGTGAAATGACTCAAGTAGTAAAAAAGTATACCAATCCTTAAGCAGGAAACTTGAAGCCCACACAGCTGCGTGACGGGACCCTGCTCCTCACTCGCTGTGTGTGCAGTAATCTCTGATCCAGCCCAGACCCTCCTGTGTGGAGCCTGAGGGAGACAGAGACCATTAGAACATGTTTTTCCTGACAGGGTGTCATGATATTGGAATACAGAGAGTGCTGACCCAGAGGCTTGTATTCACAGCCGATGTATCCCTGGTACTGCAGCCTTTCCAGCGTGTTGAACAGGTATCTGTAGTCCAGCTCTCCGGCGCTGTCAGGCTCGTTCCTACCGGGAACCTGAGCCACCTGAACATGACCTGAGAAACATGTATATCATTATCAGCTGAAGAGGCACAAGCACAGCTGGGTTGTTGGGTCTGAATTAATTTAGCCACGTCTCTTATTCAAAATGTTCCATATTTTCTTTCTCCAAAAGAATAACCAGTCGATCAAAGCCACCATCCTTTTGTCGTTGCATCATCAAGGTTTGGCGAACACTAAACTCTTTTGATTTCATTTATTAGGAATGATGACAATCAAGGTTGTATTTTTGCCAGACCTGCCTAGAAGAGAACTAAATACTAATAGGTTTGTCGAACTATTTGAAAACACAGATTTTTCACGTAACACTTGTCTCCTCCCATAAATCAGGTGTGCTGACCAACACAGGTGTAAGGGGGCGTGGTCTGGGGAATATTTGGTAAATGTAGCTTTTGTTTTAGTTGGAGAAGAAGCAGTTAGCTCGTTGCTAAAGGAACGTTGAAACCATGAGGAGTCTGAGGATCCCGAGCAGGACGCCCAGCAGAGCTAGAGTATGTTTTACCAGTCTCGACTATCGGTGAGTTTATTCTTTTTAGGATGTTTTTGGTCTTTTTGCAAGGCATTGTTTCCTTACATTGTATTTTTGCTTTGTTGACTGACATTAGATGTATTTATTTTGTACTGACTGCTTTGAGAAGACAATTCCTGTGGACCTTGAAACGCACATTTCTCCAATTCTTTTTTTGTGTTTGTGCTTTTGTTTGAGGCAGAGTTTGATCTAAATAAAGTCTCTAATAAGCCATTCAGATTTCTCCTTTATTTTTGGTTGGGTTATAAAATATTTAGAGGACAAATAATGATCAGCCCATCTTCTAACCAAGTTTTAGAACCACAGGTTGGATCTTTTAGTTGTAACTGTAAACTGAATGTTATAATATAAGCAACTATATTCTTCAGACATTCAAAATATGGGGCAAAGAAGCCCGGGCAGGTGCCTTACTCACCAATAAGCGGAAGATACTTGTGTATGTTTTGTGTCAGGTTTCCATCCATTATTTGCCAGTGAAAGACGTCCTGAAAGAGTTCAGACGTCTGGTAAATCAAGTCAACTTTTAACATAGTTTGCCGTTTTTATACTTTCAAGTTGAGACATATTTCCCAAGCACCCACCATTTGCAGCTTAATGTTTGGCTTTCCAACCTTCTCCAGTATCTCAGCAGCTGCAGACAAAAAAAAGGATGATCTGAAACATTACTCGAGGCAGGTAGAAAGACATTATATAGGAAAAAACAGAAGGTGTGTTTTCATTTTTAAAGTAATAGTAGAAATAAGTTGCATACTATAAAATAACTGGCATACTTGTACTGTAAATAATCAAATCTGTTGAGCACAGTACAACCAGACACATGTTGTTCTGTCTGCATCCTTTCATGATGATGTAAGGAGTGTTCAAATGTGACATTAAATTACATCATGTGCCATTGTGCACTTACATCAATATATTTGTGTAACATCTGTTAATGGTTGCAAAATGACTGCCTACTTTTTATAGCTTTTAAAGGAAACATATTACCATTTGACATTACGTTTAGCTGACACTTTTATCGAAAGCGACTTAAATGTTAATGCTAACAAATATAGACCAAGAGGTCAACTCATTTGAGTCGTCAATAAAATATGTTAAGTATACTGGTTGATGGACAATGGAAAGGTCTACATGCTGGTTAGCAATGGTGAGGTCTCAACTGGTTAAAGAGGGTGAGGTCTACATGCTGGTTAAAGAGGGTCCGGTCTACATTCTGTTTCGTGCAGTTTTGCCTATAAGCTGGTTGATTTGATCTCAGTGGGACGAGGCGTCTTACCCTGATGAGGAGAGTCCAGGAAATACCTGGGATCTGTTATCCTTGTGTTGATTGGTTCTATCAAACCCGTGATTCCTTCCTGTGAGGAAATTGACAGTTTGAAACATTCTGAACACTGAAAGGCATGAAAGGTATATATGTTAATAGGAAATCATATTTAAATTAAAAAAAAAAACACATTTGAGATATACCGCATGCAGTGAAACAACTGCACTACAATATGCAGAGCAATGCAACCAAATACTGTTCATGTATGTGCAGGAATCATACTTTTAATTTGACATATATCCTATTTTTCATGCTGCACTATATTTATGCAATAATCCAGTTCGACTTAATTCATTGTGCTGAGAGTTGTTGTTCTGTTGCCCAGTAAAGGTCGCCTACCTTAGAGAGGATATCAGCAGCATACTTTAGGTTCTGCACAAAGACGGCCTCCATCTCCTTGGCAACCGCCTTTCTCTGTGAGCCCATGGGAACCCTTCCTGCCATCAGGTGGATTCTGGGAAATCATGGAAAATACCAAATGCATAAATACAACCACGAAAAGTTGAAACCCTGGTAAAGATGTTTCCTCCTCACCGAGGCAGAAGCCCTGAAGACAGAGCGTCTCAGTAATATAGACTTTTTATTTAATGTGACATAAAAGAAGGATCAAGTGATTTCTCTTGATCGTCTTTGAGATGTATCTACAGCTTGATTGGAGACAGCCTGTGGTGAATTGGAATGGACATATGGAAAGACACACTTGTATCTTGATTACATCGCAGAGCTCAGAGAAAGTGTGTCAGGAGAGGGGAATAAAAACCTGAAGATAACTCTGGCTGAGCTCCAAAGACCCTGTGTGGAGTTGGGAGAAACCAGAACCAGAAACAGAGCCAACATTCCACCTGAACCTCTGACCAGTGAAAGACTCAAAAGCACATTGAGGACTCTCAGACTATGAGAAGCTAATTGTCTGCACTGCAAGACTGAATAGTTTAGCCTAAAATCTAGGCATCGTGTCTGGAGTAAACTAAGCACTTCTTATTAACCGTGCAATACATCCTCTACAGTGCAGCATGGAGGTGGCAGCTTGAGGCTGTGTCGATGTGTTTCAGCAGCAGGGAGGGGGAGAGCTGAGCAGGGCAAAGTACAGAATGGAAACTTGTTGCAGTGTTCATCTGTCATGGCCGCAGGACAGCGACAGCACAGCGGAAACAACACAGGAGGGTCCTTGTAAAATTGATGCAGCACATTGCATATGTTTATGTGATCTATAAGGAAACTAGCCTTATGAAAAACACATTTGATGTACTATACTAATTTCAGGGTAAAGATTTATGGTTGAAAACAGATAAGAATACATATTTACTCTGCCAATTCCCCACCTTTTGCACTCCAAAGCTCTTGCATACTTCAAAGCCAGGTCCAGACCCTGTCTGAACTCTGCCTCTCTCCCAGGAACTGCTCCGAGACCAAGATCCCCTCCCTTTATATCTCCTGCAAATCACATAAAGTATTTCATTACCACCGTCATCATGCTATAACAACTATCTATTAAAGTGGTTTCTGGTGGAAAAGAACAGCTGCTGACTTAATTTAAAAGTCAGTGTGTCGGAGTTAGGGTCACCTGGCGGAGTGTTGATGAGGACCAGCTCCACCCCCGCAGCCTCTCTGGCCCTCCGGAGCTGCTCCAAGTCGGACTCGTACAGCCAGGCCGCCTCCACCGCCTGGAAGCCGGCCGCAGCAGCCGCGGAGATCCTCTGGTGGAAGTCAGGAAGCTCCGTGAAGAGCCAGGAAATATTGGCACAGAACTTCAACGGAGCCATGCTGCTTCACTGAAGGGGACAACGACCCTGAGTGTAGCGCGTGCGTGTGTGCGCGTGATGCACTTTAACCTGATGACAGCAGCGGGGGAGACCGGCGTTACGGAAGCTAAACTGTACTAGCGTTTACATCAGATTTATATGGAACCAAATATGTTACAATATTTGAGGACAAAGCATATTTGGTATTGACAATGGAACAACACAAAATAGTTCAAATTACGCTTGAAAGGCAATGCTGGGCAAAGTTCTCTTTATGTCCACTTACTGACAGTCTTCTTCTTCTATATTCGTTTCGCATTGAAATGTGCAAATGGTAATAAAGAGGGGAGTATCAGCAAAATGTTGCAGGAGTCTGTGCTGAGCAGAGTTGTGTTATTGTCACATGACTGGCAGCATGCTTCCTGGTCTGTGTAATGCGCAGGCGCAGGAAGTTGCAGTCACGCGGGAGTATACAAATAGGTTTTGGGCGTTGTCAAGGCAACACTTTCCTTCAGTTTTAACCTATATAATCAGTCTTTGGTTTTAACTAAGTAATTGATTGAAAAAAGAGACTTATGTTTTAAAAGTGACAATTGGACTTTTTAATGCATATGTCCAGACCAAGCGGCAAACTCTGGGGCAGAGCCGGGAGGCCAATAAGGAAGTGCCTCAAACTGCAGTTTATCTAGTGGCCAGTAGGAGCAGTCTGCAGAAGGGAGCAATATCCATATACCCCCATGTTAAAATGACCAACTTTACAGCAGAAATAAACATGTTTACATCGTGGTTCAAAAAAACATATTCTCTGTATAGTTCCCCCTTCATGACTACTGTTTGGGGGGTGAATTGTTTTATAACGCAACCCTTTTAGTTATATTAGGTCAACGTTTTTGCATAAATTGGGGCGTGGTCACCTTGAGGGACAGGTCTCTGCAGTGAGTGCTGCTTCTAGCGTTCTGTCCTATAGAGTGGCGAAGTCCCTCCCACTTACTTCCGGGGTATGGGACCTTATTTCGGAAAAATAATGCATTGAAGTCAATGGAGAGAGAAAACGTATCTTTCGATCCCGTTTGAATTGTGCCATGAATTACACATATGATGTTTGTCAATCTTAAAAAATAATTTCCATGTCAAAAAAGTCACAGTTTGTCGTAAAACTGTTGAAATATAAGACTATGAAAAATACGTAACTAGAAAGACTACAAATCCCAGAGTCGCGTAAGTGATGTCACAATTGTTTTCCTCCACTAAGAGATAGCTAAGATCAGCACCATATAGATATAATCTATCTATATTCAGGGTTGCCAACTCTCACGCATCTGGCGTGTGACACACGCTTTCACTCTCAATCTCACGCTCTCACGCTGCCCAAACTATTCTCACGCCAAAAACAAGAATACCGAAGACTAGAAACGGTTTTGAAAACTTTTGTCACGTAGTGATCGTCTTCTCAATAGAACATCTTTGATAATGTCTTCTGGCCAATCAGAATCACGATAACGGCGTGGTGTTGTTGCAGGAAGTCCCGACGGAGAATACTTTTGCGGTAGTACATCTCGATACATCGATACAACATTACGTGTTGATAGAAATCAACACGTAATGAAATAAGACCCCACGGTTTGATGATTGATAGGTGTGTGTGTGCTGTCTTTCATTTTGACACACAGAACAATGGGGGCTATCCACCCTTATCCACAATGTAAAGTAATTCACACAGCCTCTTCCCTCTTCTCTCTGTGAGGAGCAGCAGGTTCAGCTTTCAGAACAAAGTAACACAAAACTAAAATGGCATTCATTTTTTTAAATATGTCGTGTAGTAATAGATTTATTTATTTTTCTTCTCAAGAGAGTACCAGAATGTGTATTTTATGTTAGTATTTAAAAAAAATCTCCTGGGGGAGAATCCCCCCAGTCCCCCTGCAGGGGTTGGGTTTTCAGCATGTCAACTCTTTCACTCGTGGGGAAATTGCAGGATTGGCTCCAGGTCGCCCTTTTTATTTACTACAAGACAAATGTGCCTTTTTATTTCATACAGTTCAATTTGGATTGAGACAGGGAAATAATCTAAACCTCACGCGTGGCGTTTCACTGTCGGGGGGAGCGTGTATGTAATTACATTGCAAATACTGACTTGAGCCCCACCACTGTATGGGTTAGCCCTACCATAGATTACCCAACAAAAATACTCTGGAGCCGCAACTGCCGACCCGTATTGCGCTTGCGCAGATCTAAAATCCAGTAGAAATGATAAAAAAGTAAAAGTCTGCTGCTTATTGTTCTACTAGGCCAAAATAGAGTCAAAGAGTATATGAGAGTGAGAGTGTGTTAATTAATATATTTGGCAGTTTGGAGTAAGTCTGTAGATTTGTTTGTGTGTGTGTGTTTCATGTATAGGCCTCTCACGATAATTAATTTTGTTTGATACATTTTCCCGGAAATGATTGCGATAAACGATAATATTGTCGGCACCGTTGTATGACCATTAAAAGATCACTGACATAATGATAATATATAATAATAATTCAAGTACATCCTTTCAAACTACTAGTCACATCCTCATGTAAATGGCAATTTATCGAGGTCAGAAAAGTTATCGAGTTCATTTTTATTTATCGTACGATAAGTCAATTAATTGCTTATCGCGACAGGCACACAATAAAACAGTGGAAACAAACATGTTTGACTTTCATTAGTGAATGAAACTGTGTGCCCTTTATAGTCTGTGTCCATTATTGTGTATTTGCATATATTGTATATATATCCTATATGCTAAGGTCCCGCTGCTGACACGATAGCAGTCATTTCGTGTGCATAAGTGCAATTAAACCGAATTAAACCCATGATATCAAAATCTCACTCCAGCCAGGTACCCAAAGTTGGCAACCCTGCTATATGGCGCTGGCTAAGATAAGATAACTTTAACAAGATGCCTGTGTGCTTAGTACCAGGTTGTTATTATACCAACAATGGGTCTTGCTCGTTCTTTCGCTTCCCGTCTGATGAAAGGACCACGAGTGTCTGGATCAAGCTAGCTAGTAGCTAGCACGTTAGTTAGCATTACAGCCTTGTCATTTTTATTAGCCTTAACATGAAGTAACATGAAGTAACCCAAAATGTTAAACAGTAAGAGTAGTAGTCATATTTCGTGAACCCTTTGAAGAGTACTGTCACCGGTGTGATCATTCTATAATACACAATTTAAGCCCGGGGGAGAAATGCTAACGCTAACGCTAGCATCGACGATCTTCTCTACTTCATGCTATCTGCACAAATGGTTGACATTAAACATTAAAACGACCAGGCAGTTCAGAGAGAATCAAAGGAAGGCAGGCAGGCAGCTTTGCATGACATTCTTCAGGACGTGTTTCATTGTGGTGATAGTGAGGGTAGTCAATCGTTTTGTTGACAAGACAGTAGTGACGGCCATCTTGGTGACGTGTGTTGTTGACCAGAGATGTAGTTCATTGAGCGTTTCACACAAACAAATGTGTTACTTCACAGTTTTGCAACACTTTTTTTTTTTTTTTACTTGCAAAATTATCTTTTAAATTGACAAACATCATATGTGTAATTCCTGGCACAATTCAAACGGGATCGAAAGATAATCTTTCTCTCTCCATTGACTTCAATACATAATTTTTCCGAAATAAGGTCCCATGGAGGTCCACCGGAAGGGGAGGGACTTCGCCACTCTATAGGAAAAAAAATGAATTTACTGATGAAATGTTCACTTGCAGAAAAATATATATTTTTTAAATATATTTTCCATTACAACTGCAACTTGGTTATTACAACCTCTCAAATCAGTCATTAGGCGTGTGGGCGCAGTGGATAGAGCCTTGGTGTTGGGATCAGGGGGTCACAGGTTCAAACCCTACTACAGTCAGGCAGCATGTCGTTAGCAAGATACTTCACCCCAGATTGCTCCTGTGGGGATTGCCCACAGTATTGAGTATGTAAGTCGCTTTGGATAAAAGCGTCTAACAAGTAACATGTAATGTAATGTAATTACAACTTCACGAATCTGCTCTGTGGCAGTATAAATCGACGAAACTGCGGCCTTGACTTTTGCTACACTTCTTGCGATGAATGTGTCGCTAAAGTAATTTTCACCTGTAGATGTGGGGGGGGGGGGGGGGGGGGGGGGGGGGGGTTGGAGCGAAGGGGCGGAGCTATCAGAACGACGAGGCACAAGCTCGGGTCCCTCCCCTTCCGGGGACCTCCATGGGACCTTATTTCGGAAAAGGTATGTATTGAAGTCAATGGAGAGAGAAAACGTATCTTTCGATCCCGTTTGAATTGTGCCACGAATTACACATATGATGTTTGTCAATCTTACAAAAATAATTTCCATGTCAAAAAAGTCACAGTTTTTCCTAAAACTGTTGAAATATAAGACTATGAAAAATATGCAACTAGAAAGACTACAAATCCCAGAATCCCGGTCCCACATGCTGGCTCTTACGAACCGACTAACTCCCCTTTTGTGTATGTACAGCTCTCAACATGCCCAGACTTGTAGTGATTTTCTCCTCGTTTAATACTTTTCGCCTCATTCTGAAAGAAAGAAGTGAAATGTGCCAACGTGACGGCCGTCTTGGTGTGTGGTGCGAGACGGGAGATGTAGTTCATTGAGCGGTTTCACACAAAAAAAAGTGTTACTTCACAGTTTTACGACACATCTTTTTTTTTTTTTACTTGCAAAATTATGTTTTAAATTGACAAACATCATTTGTGTAATTCGTGGCACAATTCAAACGTGATCGAAAGATAATCTTTCTCTCTCCATTGACTTCAATACATACTTTTTCCGAAATAAGGTCCCATGGAGGTCCACCAGAAAGGGAGGGACTTCGGCTCTCGGTCTATGGTCCAGACTTACATGGGCATTAAAGTGGTATACACTTCCTGTCTCCAGTCCAAAGTGTGTGGTGTCTTTTATTTTCAGTATTATACACACATGTAATCCGACTAAATGCATTTAAAGAGGTTCATATTCAAATCCCCTAAAATAACAGAGTTTCTCACTGGTTTTCAGGTCAAGAGAACTGAACTAACTTTAATAAAATCTTTGACAGTCAATCAATTACTTTACCACCAGAGAGCCCCATCAAACATATTCCACTGAAGCCCTCTTTGACTCTAGAGATCCCTCATTTAAAACATTAAATAAGATAGTTTCCACTTCCAGGTCTATTCTTTGTTTACATAGTAAACCAAACAGTTTTTAGTTTATTTAAAGAATTCCCTAGAGTCCTCAGCCATTGTTATGATAACGCCATTACAAAAAGTCCAATACAAGTACACTGAAGTAAAAGTAAACTTTATAAAAGCTTAATGGTGTAGACTAGTGAGCCAAACTCGAAAGGTTGGCCTTTGTTGTGGTTGTTTATTTGGTAAGCAGA